AAACAAAAATTGTCTAATTTGTATATTTTGGCAGATATTAGCGGGAAACCATTTTTTCGGACTTTAGGGGCCATTTTGAGCCCTTTCCGACCCAGCAGTGTTGGTAAAAGTTTTCGCCCTTGAAAGCCACCGTCAAGACCTAAGAATTGAGCCACAAAGGAAATCTGGACCGACTTAATGACAGCTTTGCATATTTTCAGGTCTTCAGTTACTGAATTAAGACGGTATCTGCCTCTTTTAGCCGTTACGTATTGAAAAAATTGCAAATTTTATCCAAAATTTACTATGTAGCACAGAAAAGAATTGATATATTACATACTCGTAAATAATAATAAATACTCATAAATAATAATAAGTTGAAGCCGAACAAGGGGCACGTATGCTATACCACAAACAGGATATTTATGACAATAAAAAGCATCGTTACGCAGAGTTTTCATCCCTTCACCCCTCGAACGGCAACCCTCTGAGGTCGCAAATTTAGGTGTAGTATCAGAGGACCCATGTCTACCATCCCACCAAATTTCATTTCTTTCCGACCTTTTGCGAATAGACCCCCTTAATCTTTACCCACCGCTTGGAGTAATATTCGTAAAGAGGAAGAAAGTGGTATTTCAGTATAACCGTTATATTATGAGAGGGTTAAATTATCAATCCATTATTATACTCTTCACCCCAGTATATATACCAATCAGTATTGGCACTCTGAGGCGGCACTTTTGATCTTTAAAAGTAGAAATTTTAGTTGACACTTGACGTTTTCGGGATATGAAAAGTTTTCTTTACACGGACTTGGTATACATGGTTAGTTGAATTTTTGTTCTGCTGCTGTTCAAATTCGTGTGTATGAGGGAGATGTGAGATACCTTTATAGACAACGGTTGAACAACTTAATTACTTTGAAGAAGAAAATAGATTAGATATCAGGGCAGTCTTCGCAAATGTAAGAAGGACAGAAACGTTTTAAATTTTTTTATATATGTGAAATATTACTTTTTAGTGAAAAGTTTAATTACTTTTAGTTCAAAATATAACGTTAGTTTGTCAAGGGAAATATATAACACACAAGGTTAGAGTAACAAAATGGAGGTATTGCTTTATTTCTTATAAGAATTACTCTAATCTAAAACTTTTCTAGTATATTGTAAAAATATTTCTATCCGTTATTTAGGTACTGCAAAATCTATAGGAAAGTATGTAGTTTTAAATTTAAAAATTTGTAACGGAGACATATTTAGTGTAGTTTTTTTTACAAATATATACTCAGTGACTTGTTTTTGTGAATGAGTTCAACTATGGCAGACTAAAATCGTTATTTTTTATTATGAATTAATTTGAATTTATTTTAAAATGGGAACTATATGTATATGGTTTTCGTAGTTTTTACACTTGTGATAAAAATATCAAAGTTATGTATATTGGCCATTTACTACACACAGCAAATTCATAGACACAATACATATTACTATTTGACATTCTTGTAAAACCACTAATTTAAAATTGACTTTAAACTAAGTGACTACACACAGAATTGTTTGAAAGCAGCCATAAGGTATAATTTATTAATTGGATACTATAAAAAAATTAATAGTAGTTACATGTAGAGTTAAGTAACAAGAAATTTAAGACCAAAAACAAAACAAACCTTTATATCTAGTGAACTTAATTTAGTACAGTCCTCAACTTTCTTAGGCTAACATTAAAGATATCTATTTGGATCTCGCTAAGAAACTCATTGGTAACAGCCATCATCTTGTTAAAAGGAGATATACTACTTGGATCTAAATCAAATAATTTTTTGTTACTTGGGTTTCTTAGATTAATCTTTGCCGCATTAACATTTATATAGTCAATCAATTCACAATCTTTGTACTTAAAATAGAGTACAAAATATATCACAGCCTGTTGCTTTCTTCTTTGTAAAAGAGATTTAATCTTAAAACTATTGAGCATAGTTTTATACGAGATCTTAGGTATAAGGGTACAAGTATTTTTATAACATAAAGGTACGGTAAAAATATTTTTTGTACTTTTTCAATATGATGAATTTGTGTGGCTTCCAAGGGCATCCATATTTGTGAAACATACTCAAGATGGAGTCTTACTAAGGCATTATATAATCTGATTTTGGTGGTAATCCTTTATTTTTTTGTATTTCTGATTTAAAAACCTAATGCTTTTATTGCTTTTTTAGTTAAGTGTAAAAAATGGTTATTGAACTTCAAATTAGACTGAAAGACAACTCCCAAATCCTTTACCTCATATTCACGATTTAATGTGACATCACAGGTCTTATTTCTAATGTAAACCATTAAGAGGCTATGGATCCTTACAACTTAAAATATGCATACGTTTGTAAGTGTGAAATAGACGGATAAAAAGTGTTGATTTTTATTTACAACTATAATAAAAACCCATTAAAAAATTAAGAGCAATAGAACATTTCAACAAATTTCTATAGGTACACATATTTTTGATACCTGATAATGTGATAATCAATAAATAATATATTTTTTGGAGTAGCAACAGGTTTATTAATACACAACTATTATTTTGTTACAAATAATATATTTTGATTTAATTGTTGAATTTATACATGAGCAATATTTTTTGTAGCGTTGTTTACATTTTGCAGAGAAATATTATATTCTGCTTTTAGCTGATAAATCATGTACATGTAAATGGGTTGAATGTAGACAATGTTAATGTTTTTGCTACTACTGCTGGCTAGGAATGCTGGGCTGGGATACCAACAAAAAAAAAAGGAAGCACAAAGCACTAGATGTTTTTATCACTTATACACGTACAATTTACAACCATTCAAGTAACTAGCATGTTGCAAATACTTCACGAAAACATATTAAACATAAATCAGTCGAAGGCAATGTATTTTCTTTTTATAACACACCTTTTTAGCTTGATTACTTTTAGTACTCTATTTATTCCAATGTCCTCAAATAAAACGAGCAATAATAAGGATAAAACACACACTGAAGTGTATTTGCGATATTTTTGATCTAAATCCACTATCAAAATAACAAATTTTCCGTTTTTAAGCTGTGAATGTATTACAAAAACTACTTCGATAAAATGTAAACAAAAGTTCATATTTGTGTACGAAATATGGGTTGCCTGCGCATGGTAGCGAGTTTTTAACCGGATTTATGACAAGTGATAGGTTATATCCCGAAAACGTCAGCGCAGTAAAAGCTGCACGTCTTTTTCCCGCCCAGGGAGTGTCATGGGCCTGTCTTCACACAGTAGTCTGTGAATAATATTATAAGTTTACTGTTTACTCTGTCCGAAATTATGTTTTTTTTCCGCAAGATAAGGCAAAAACAAAAAATATCAACTTGAAAATTTTAGAAAAAATCAAGCTCTATAAGAAGATGAAACCTATAGATTCTGAAAAAATATGAATAAATTGGGGGTTAAGGAAGGGTTAAAATAATAAAAAAATCTAACTCAAAAACGAAAATGTTTAGCAAAAATCAAGCTCTATAAGAAGAAGAATTGCTTTAATTTTGAAAAACTAATTAAAAATGAAGGGTTTAAGGAGGGTTGAACAAAAAAAAATGATAAATCAAATACGAAAAGTGATATCAACATGAATTTTTTAGTGTAAATCAAGCTCTGTAAGGAGATGAAACCTATTTATTCTAAAAAAGTTGAATCAAACTGAGGAGTTAAGGGGAGTTAAAATATTTAAAAAAATCCTAACTCAAAAACGAACAATAATATCAACTTGAAATCAAGCTCTGTAAGGAGATGAAGCCTATTTATTCTAAAAAAGTTGAATCAAACTGAGGAGTTAAGGGGAGTTAAAATAATTTAAAAAATCCTAACTCAAAAACGAACAATAATATCAACTATATAAGCTATCAGCTATATAAAGGGATGAATACATAAAGAAAAATATGGAGATAAGGGGGGTTAAAATATTGAGAAAAATCCCAATTCAGAAACAAAAAATAATATCAAATTGAAATCTTCATAAAAAAAATCTAGCTTTATAAGCAGATGAAGCCTATTAATTCTGAAAAATACCTGATTGAAAATGGGGGTTAGGAAGGTGTGTTAAACTATGAAGAGTATAATATAGAATGCCAAGCATTAAATATCTTCATTCTAGTTTTATATTATGTAGGCTACTGTCATATGAGGCGCCTAGATGCAAAACCAGATATATCCATCATAAGTGAAACTGAGAAAATCGCAAAAAACTGTAATTTTTACAATTTTCGGTTTCTCCATGAATTTTTAATGTAGGGGGTTAAAATATGATTTTTGTCAATATTTTATTGAAAACCGTAGATTTTTATCGAAGTTTAAAGATATTAACCCGAAAAATAAAATGAAAATATCTAATTTTGAAAGTTGGAATGAAAAATATCTTATTTTGAAGTTCGCTCGACTTACAGTTTCTTATTATAGCGTTATTATTAAAGAGACCTATCGTAATAGGCACTTTGCAATAATAAGTGAAGGATTTTAAGAACTTTATTAACAAATTAATTATAACTTAAATAAGAAAAGTAGTTATACAAATTTATTGTCATCTTCTTGAGGCTCACAAAGGAGCTCTTCTTGAACATCTTCTACTTCTTCATTGCCACGATTTTCATCGCATAATACATCTCGATAATACTGAAGTCGTAAATTTTCAGCTTCCTCTTTCCAGGTAGAACCAAAATGGCCTGTCAAGAGCTCATCCATGTTTTTGATCTTTTCCGGCTTGATGTTGCGATTACCAGTACTCATTTCATCAGGATTAATGTCATAGAATGTTTTTCCTTTTTTACAGATACCTTGAGCGGTGCCTATAAGATGCTTGTAAAATGGCTCGCCTTGAACAATGACATTGCCTTTAGTATTTTTTGTGATAATTACACGTTTGCAAGAATTAATTTTAAAGGGTAACGATAAAGTAGCACGCACATGTGCTTTGACTTGTTCTTGCAAGTCGTAGACTTTACAATTAACTTGAACAGTTCCGGATTCGCTAAATAAATCCAAGTATTCTTGGGGATTTATTATGGTATCCTTTTTGCGAATTTTTTTCTCGATATTAGCGAATACCCTATCCGGTGGAATATATGAATGACCAGTGACTGGAAATACCAATTCAATAGATTTTACGTGCGTAGGTGCACGCTGGAGCCACGTACATACCATTGTGATCATTGTAAGGTTTTTATTTTGCCCCCCACATCCATCGGAGCAAAGCCTTAGATCTGTTACGTTATCTAAGTTAAGTTTCTGAAGTCTATCAAAAACTGCAGAGGCAATTTCGTTTGAACCTTTTGCTTTGTCAGTTTCTTTCCATGTGTAACAAAAAACATTGTCTTTCTTTAACAAAGATTTAGAAGTTCCAACGACGATTGCGAAGTTATACATGTAAAACTGGCGTTTGTAATAAGCCTGCTGGTCAGGAATCTTGGGTAACACTAGATTTTTTTGACAGTCGTATGACATGGTTAGCATCTCAGCCTTCTCTTCTTTCAGCAGTTCAAAAAAGCTTTTGCTTTTAGCTTATGGATTCTACTTTCCGTCATTAATTCCTGTTTCTGATTTAAATCTCTTGTGTTTTTAATTCTAGATTTAAGTTCTAAACATCTTGAACATACGTCAGTTTGGGGAGCATTGAATCCTTAATTAAATTTTGTATTAAACAATGCTCTAAAGAAACTTTCTTTCACTGCATACTCAGGAAATTTCGTATTAAACATTTTCCACATTTTATTAATGCTTAAATCGCTTGAAAGATATTCTCTGGAACTGTGACCTCGACAATAATGGCTCTCGATTATAGAAAAGGTCTTAATAAAGTCTATAATTTTATTTTTTTTATGTAAATTTTTGTTTTTCACCCTGTCACCACCGCGATTTTCCACAGGCATAGTCCCAGTTGCATGAAAACGTTTTAGCACGCCATTGACTCTGTTATGACTTAAATTTAGTGCCCTCAGGAAGGTATTCTTGCAAACTGGAATTAAATCCTTTGTTTTATGCTTTGGAATAAAGTAGTGGATAGATGTATTCCTATCTCGCCTATTTTTCGATGGACGCCTTCTTTTGGGAACTTTTATGGTGCAGTATTTTATGATATATGCATCTTGATCCTTCTTGTTGCGAGACTTGTAAAATTTTGCATGAAAATGGGTTAGGTCAAGATTAGATAAGGAAGAGCATTTAAAACTTTTCGTATCATGTTGACATACGGAAAAACTCCGTGGTTTCTTAGCTGCATATCTAAAATACGAGTCATTTTGTAACCTAAAAACTTTACGCGGGAAAATAAACAAATTACCTTTTCTCTGATGCAAGATTCCTTTTCCATAATTTTGTATTTCCAACTTTTTTTCTGGCTAAATCGGGGGTTCTTTCAGTTGGGGCACTCATATTCACAACTTTACAGTTACAAAAACCATAAAAACACTTTGAATAATCAACAACAAAACGCCTCAGCGATCCTCTCCCCACACTGTTTACAATAAAACTAATAATATTGATTTAACCAGCAACGACGTGACCGCAAACTGGATATAACTGCTTATGATTGTTTCGAAATATTCCGCATGAAGACCATATGGACAATATCTGATTTTGTACGTTACTGTATATATCTGCATTTGCATGTTTTATATGATTGGATATAACTTGTTTTGAACTTCGGCCAAATATTTGATCATGGTTTAGCATAGAAAATATCTTACTTTACATGTTGGTTAGACTTGCAATCGATGCGGTATTGTCACATTTAAAATATCGATACATTTCCCGCAAAAATTTGAAAATTGGAAATATCTGGTTTTGCATCTAGGCGCCTCATATTATCTACTCTGACCTACTTACTCGTATCGTATTTATTTTTCATCAAATTTTATTTAGTAGGCTGCCGACTAGCGAAAACAAAATTTTACAACACATCTTTCGGGAATGTACTTATCTCTTAAGGGATTGGGCTAAGAAAAGTATTGCACGACCCTAAATGATTTTTAACGAGGAATATTCTCTTGATTTTTTTAGCATAAATTTAGAAAATATATCTGAAATTAAATATTTTAATAAATATTATTTAACATTGACTAAATAAAAAAAAATCTACAACACCTAATCCATCTTTCGATAGTTGGATAATTTCAGGGAAAATGTGATGAAATGAAATACAATTTTCAGTAATTACTCAAAAATATGACCATTAATTATTTGAATCACAAACATTTAAAACGAATATAATTTGGACTTTTTGTAATTTTAATTCAAAATAATAGTGTATTATGCAACTATCATGTAATAGCTATTACATGAGAATTGCATACACTATTTTTTCTACTTCCATTAATATTCGAAATAAGTACATTTATTTATTTTAAAAATATTGTATATATTAAAAAGACTTTTTTAAAACAAAGACAAGGAACTTTTTTTACAACACCTTAAATACCACCTAACTTTTTTTTAAAACATTAGGTATTTTTTTTATATACAGGGTGTCCCAATAGTGTGTGAAAGTTCGATATATCCTATATTATAGAAAATATCAAACAATGTTATTTACAAAAGTTGCAGATAATATTAATCTGCACATTTCAAAATTATTTTTTAATATACAGAGTGATCCATAACTTCAGAATTGATCAAACCTGTTTTTTTTAAACGGACCACCCTGTATTTAATTGTAAATTTAAATTCCCCTGACTTTGTCCTTCAAGAAAATACCAACATGTACGAGGTTATACTGGGTAATTTGGAAGTTTTAACCAATTTTATATGAAAATCGTACTAGGTTCAACCCTCTGTATATTTCAAACGAAACAATTGAACATCAAATTTTTTTGATGAATAATTTTTCGTGATAGTCTACTTTTATAAGAATATACTAATTTTGTCCTAGCGCAACAGACTTGTACAGGGTGAGTCAAAACACAGATACATGAGTTTCTCAATTTTTTTAAATGTAACACCCTGTATTTCATATCACTACTAAAAAGTACTCTAATTATACGTTCGTTTGAGTTAAATATTGCCTAACCCTAAACATAACAGTTTAGCGAGATTCTTAGATGAAATGTTAAAAAGGGTTAATTATAACTAAATTCACAATGTAATTTGATTTAAACTCCTGTTAAAATACAGGGTGTCCCAAATAAGAGTGATCGATTTTAACTTTAAATAAACAGCTCATTAATTGCTCTAAAGAGATGGGGTTTTCACTAATTGCTTTCGTTTATCCAAAAGTTTTTTTTTAAGTTTGTTCACATTTTATCACATCAATACAGAGTGATCCACTAATGTTGGTCAACTTGAATGGAAAAAATATGTATTATTTTAAATGGAACACCCTGTATATTTTAATAGCATTCTAAAGAGAGATTCATCTACTTTTTTTTAAAAATGTATAGTTTGATATCTTTTGTTTTCTTAACAACACAGATTTTCGAGTTTTTAAGTAACACTGCTGTTTCTTTATTTAAAAACTGACATTAAATGAAATTAACAAAAAGAGTTTGTTCAGTAACAAAACATAACAAAAATTTAATATAGATTACAAAACAATTATTAATAATGAAGGATGTAAAAGATACAACAAATGCTGTATGTGCCTATGTATACCCTTCTTTTCAATACACATGCGTAATTGAAATTTAACACACACAAAATTAACCGAACATTAACATTTGGTCTATCTCTTTCAAATTCATTAAAAGTACATACATCTGTCTATTTCATAGGAGAGTAAAACACTCGTAGGCAGATTTATTTGAACATCATTTGATACATAATAAAATAAATCAACTCTTGCTATGACAAGTTGACAACAAAATCAACAAATTTGACAATTCATAAAAACAGAAGTAATTTAATTTGCTGTCACTTACAAAATGATTTATTTAGTAACTGAAAAAGCTCAAACTGTGTTAATTTAAAAAAAAACAAGGAACGCTGATGATCTTTTTGAAAAGTTGTTGTCTATTAATGAAGTGCTGCAAGCTAAGTTACAGAATTTCGATTAGAAAGATTGCTGGAATTTTAGACATTTCCAAAAGTGACCTGCAAAGGTGTCTAAAAATTTGACTCTATATAAAATTCAGACCTACCAAAGATTGTACCCGTCAGATTATAAAAAACGACTAAGGGTATGCGAGACTTTACTAGATTTATTCAGGAATGAACCTAATATGTTAATCATGTCTGATGAAGCAACCTTTTACATTAGTGGAATGTGTAACAAACAAAATTGCAGAATATGGGGTTCTGAAAACCCCACTTCTTTTAATGAATTTGAAAGAGATAGTCCAAAAGTTAACGTTTGGTGTGGGTTGTCCCCTAGACAAATATATAGTCCTTTTTTCTTTACGAAACCAACTGTGACAGGTACAAATTACAGGGATATGTTGGAACAGTTTTTCATCTACAATTAGTTCAAGATGGAATTAGAGACATCGTTTACTTTCAATAAGATGGCGCACCATCTCATTTTTCAATGATAGCACGAGATTCGTTAAATAATTTTTTTAATCAAAAGTGGATAGGACGAGCTGTCCCAGATTTTTTTCTCTGGAGATATGTGAAGGTTAAATACTACAGTCCTAAGCCTAACAACGTAGAACAACTAAAATATAATATTAGGAACATTATCGAAAATATTCCGCCAGGGGGTCGATTCTCGAGTTGTAGGAATTTGATTCCAAGGAAAATTAATTCCTATGATAATATTCCTACAGTTTTAGTTGTCGGTATTCTCGAGTACAATAGGAATCCAATTTCCTGTAGGAGTTCCAATTTCAGTATGTCGATGATAATTTCAAAATAACGCAAAAACGAGCCAATGGAATGTATTTATTTCAGTTAAATAAAGTTGTTTAACAGTTCGCAATAAGGCAATTTGACAATTTGTCAAAAATATTTGATTTGCTGGATGTAGTAGTTATTTATTTTTAATATTTTTTATTTTTATTAGGGCTAATTCCACCGTTGTCTTAAACGGAGATTAAAATGACATTGTTAATATAAAAATGTCATTTTAAACTTCGTTTAACACAACGGAGGAATCGATCCTTAGTAGCAAAAAGAGAAAACGAAAAAGTTTCAGAAGGACTACCATTGTGATTAACGTTATTTATATTTATAAGTAAAAAGTAAAGAAAGTAACTAGTACAAAAATGTTTTTCCTACACCAAAAGGTTAATGCTTGTATCCTCTAATTTCTGATTTGAAATACAAAAATATAGGAATACTTTCATTTAGCAAATAGTAAAATTCACATCATACATCATTATAACTTGGTTTGGGCTCCGTCGAGGAATTCTGATGTGCGAATTTCGCAAAAAAAGACTCAAAAGTAACCCGTTTCTTTGGTAAATTTTCATAAAAAAATTATGGATTTTGGTTATTGACTTTGGTTATTGACTTAAAGACATTTCAAATAGGATAATTTTACTCGTCAAATTAAAATTAACTTTTAATAATATATGTAGTATGTTTCATTTTTAAATGAGCTCGGAATCGCCTACAAAGTAAGCCTAAATCAATAAACCACATTAAACAAGCTACTATTGCGCAACCGCGATTACAAAATTTTGTAGGAAAATTAAATTCCCTGTCTCATGAGCATGGGAAATCATTTCCTATAACTGCTTAGGAAAATATTCCTACAACTTGACTCCAGAATACGTAACCTACTTTCCTATAGGAATATCAACCAAATTCCTATAGGAAAAAAGTCGAGAATCGACCCCCTGATATGTTACAAAAATCGTTTGAATATTTAAAATTTCGCTTGCGTATGTGCATTGAACAAGAGGATAGACACATAAATTTTTGTTGTTTTGTTACTGAACAAATTCTGTTACTTAAAATCTCGAAAATCTGTGTTGTTAAGAAAACAAAAGATGTCAAACTATACATTTTTAAAAAGTAGATGAATCTCTCTTTTGAATGCCATCAAAATATACGGGGTGTTCCATTTAAAATAATACATATTTTTTCATTCAAGTTGACCAACATTAATGGATCACCCTGTATTGATGTAATAAAATGTGAACAAACTTGAAAAAAACTTTTGGATAAACGAAATCAATTAGTAAAAACCTCATCTCTCTAAAGCAATTAATAAGCTATGCATTTACATTTAAAATCGATCACTCTTATTTGCTGTTTAATCAGTTTATATTTTTAAGGTACCTAGCTACAATTTATTATCAACTAAATTTACTTTTTTACTTTTAAGGTTAGGTTCACCCTATATTTCATATCTTTACTAAAAGTACTTTAATTATACGTTCGTTTGTCCCTATCCCTAAACACAACAGTTTAGAAGATATTTTATATATGAATGAAAAAAATATGAGCCAAAAATAAGTTTTTTTAATTTTTTTAGAATGCAACATTAGTATATTAAAAAATAAAAAAAAAATCTAATATAAAAGCTGCTCAAAGTGACTTCCTCCAACTGCAATACAATGTTGTAATCTATCTGCAAATGATCTTTGAGCGTTTTTCAAACATTGTACATCTATGCTCGCGAACACTTGTCTTATTCTTTCCTTCATTTCCTCGCTTGTTAATGGACTAGTTTTATAAACCTCATTTTTTACGAAACAATTTTTATCATTAGCCCCTAGCACTTAAATCATATCAGTCAATTCATTCGTTTCAAAATTTATTTTTAAATTAGTCAAATCAATAAATTTAAGTACTTGTGAACACTAAACGAAATTTTATTATTTTTTTCTTTTAAAACAATTCGGAACTGTCAAATGATTTTTTTCACATGAATTTCAAAGACCACTTGACCTAATGCATACAAAAAATTTGAAGTTCTGTTAGCGTTTTCATTGCATTTTATATAAAAATTTGTAAAGGTCCTCAAAAATAAATTTAGTTGATAAAAAATTGTACCAGGTACCTTAAAAATATAAACTGATTAACTAGTAACTAGTATGTAATATTTAACAGGAGTTTAAATCAAATTACATTGTGAATTTAGTTATAATTAACCCTTTTTAACATTTCATCTAAGAATCTCGCTAAACTGTTGTGTTTAGGGATAAGCAATATTTAACTCAAACGAACGTATAATTAGAGTACTCTTTAGTAGTGATATGAAATACATGGTGTTACAATTAAAAAAAATTGAGAAAATCATATATTTGAGTTTTGACTCACCCTGTACACGTCTGTTGCGCTAGGAAAAAATTAGTATATTCTTATAAAAGTAGACTATCATTAAAAATGATTTATCAAAAAATTTTGATATTCGATTGTTTCTTTTGAAATATACAGAGGGTTGAACCTAGTACGATTTTCATATAAAATTGGTTTAAACTTCCAAAATACCCAGTATAACCTCATATATGTTAATATTTTCTTGAAGGGCAAAGTCAAGGGAATTCAAATTTACAATTAAATACAGGGTGGTCCGTTTAAAAAAACATAGATATGATCAATTTTGAAGTTATGGATCTCTGTATAATTAAAAATAATTTTGAAATGTGCAGTTTGATATTATCTACAACTTTTGTAAATAACATTGTTTGATATTTTCTCTAATATAGGATATATCGAACTTCCACACACTATTAGGACACCCTGTATAAATTATTTACAGTGGAATTTGAATAATTTATTTTCCTGTACGAATAATTGTCGAATTTGAACTGGAGGGCATGTTTGTTGATCTAGTAACTCCTATTTTCAATAGAGTTGAAAATTTCGTTTGAAATGTTTATTTTATTTGTTATCACTCATTATTACTATAATTCTTCGATCAAAATATAGGTTTACAACAATCGAAACATTTGGATACTTCGCTGAAAAATAATTCGGTGCTAGCGGCTGAAAAATTTGTACCATAAAGAAAATCTGGATTATAATGAACATAATTTTAAAACAGATTTTAATATTTTACCTAATTATTATAAAATGAGAATAGAAGAGCATTTTGTCATATTAGGTTTTTTAATTTAAGAATACGACATGACTAGGTCGTAGAAAAAATATGGTGTTCCACTCGTAAAAAATTTTTTTGGAAGCCCACAAACATTAACAAATTATTCTCTGGCTGCCATAACATTTTTTTCGGTAATAAATATATTGATAAAATTTAATTCAAAGTTAATTTTAAAAAAAATATTTTTCCCATTATTACCTATACTTTTTAAAATTGAATTTTAAAAATTAAATTGTTACCGTACCTTCTAGTTCCCACTAAGTAAGTCATTTTTACAGTTAAGCCACTTAACGTCACATCCACTTAATGTTACACTTCTATGTTATTTAAATAAAAATTTTCGGTCTATGAATTTTTAGATGTACAGTTCTGAAACATGCCGCAGGAGTAAGTCGCCGGTTATTCTTTGGTTTATTATTTTGAACGGTATAGGTAAACGCATTCTACAATGTTGCCCATATCAGATAGAAAACGTTAGAAATAAATAACTCGTACTTATTAGTTACAGTTGATAGAATCCTACAGCTTATGGAAAAGTGGCGACCTGTTAATTGTCATAAATTTTTGATATGTTGCAGTTCTCGGCCTCTTAAGCAATGGGATCATTCAAATTCTGTAAGTGGTTTTTGAGATACAGAGTGTTAAACTTAAGAAATACCACGGTTATTTCATGAGAAAGTTAATCGATTATACTTTTTTGTGCCAAATCTTATTTGTAACATCTTTTGGCATTTTACAAATATAAAAAGGGGTCAAAAATTATTTCCCTTTACAGGGTGAGCCACAAATAAGTAAGGACATGTTTTTGATAATTACTTTTATTGTTCTAGAAGGTAAAAATATTTACTAATAAATAAATTATTCCTCTATTTATCATGTCTAATGATAATACAAAAGATATTAGGTACCATTTATACAGGGTGATTCGTAAATATGGACACAGGCCAATATCTTTTTTTATAAGTATTAATTTGAGACGCAGTATTTTTACGGGACTTTTCTGTATTTACCATATGTATAATTATCTAATTCATTGACTACAGGGTAATTTAATAAATATATTGATATGTGTCAAAAAAACAATTTTTTTGAGCACCCTATACTATTTGATTTGTCCTGTAAAAGTAAATATGGTTTTCACTGGCGTTACATCCTGTAATTTTTTTTTTAAATTATAACTTTTTTCTATGATTGGTTTTTGAGATAGAGGGTGTTAAACTTAAAAAATTACCCTATTTTATTAGCAGTTACTACAGGAAAAAGCTAAAAAATTACAATTTTGGATGTCTAATATTATTGTAAATTTTTTTACACTTTACGAATATACACAGGAATCCAAAAATATTTGTCTCTACAGGATGAATCGTAAATAAGTAAGGACATATTTTTTGATAATTACTTTGTTGAAAAGTTGAAAATATGAACAAAAAATTAATTATTGCTATATTTGTCATTGTGATGACCCCAGTATATTATTTTAGATTCTGTTTACTCATCTTTTTTCCATTCTTCTAATATATGATTTGTCTATGTTATATAGGGTACTTTTTATTTGTATACAGGGAGACTCAATACTCAGACCCTTGATTTTCTTGTTTTATTTAAATGGAACACCCTATATTTTATTATTATTATTATTATTATTATTTTTATTATTACAAACTAATTAGGGCTGAGGAATGAATACTATTAAGCCCAAAATTACAAGTTCAATAACAAAGACAATTATTAAATAAGTAATTAGCAAATAACATAATGCAAACAAAGCACTAAAAATAAACTTTTACTTTTCGTTAAAAAAGTCATCGAGTCGGTTTTTGAATACATTTACTGACTGTGCGCGAACAACACTCGAGGGTAAATTATTCCAAGTATAAAAAAATCTATTACAAAAAAAGTTTTCTCGGGTACGTGTTTTAAAATATTCTTTGCTCAACTTATATTCATGTCCACGGAGGCGCTCATCTGTATTCCGTGGGAGTATACTATAGAGGTTGGATGAAAAAGCACCATGAAGAATTCTGTATGTCACAATTAAATCACCCCTTAATCTTCTGTGGGCAAATGAACACAAATTCGCCATGTTAAGTCGTTCTTCATACGATAGTCTGATTCTGCCGAAAGGTATTCGAGTAGCGCAGCGTTGAACATTTTCCAATCTTTTTTGATCAGAAACCAAATCAGGACACCACGCAGGTCCGACATATTCCATCAACGGTCTAACGTAAGTTGTATAAAGTTTAGAACATGTTTGAAAGTTAACACGGACTTTTTTAATAGGTAGATCATTGAGTTCGAACGTTTACATACCGCTGATATGTGTTCTGACCACGTTAATGAAGAGTTTACAATGAGTCCCAGGTCGTTATAGGAGTTCACAGTTGCTAACGCACTACCGTTTAGATAATAGTTTACGCACGGGTTATTTTTTCCTATATGCAGGACGACACATTTTTCCGCGTTTAAAGGAAGCAGCCAGGTGTCACACCAGTTTGAAATAGTTTCAAGGTCTTTTTGTAGCTGGGTAGAATCTGTCACAGGATTACAGTATAGCTTAGTGTCATCAGCGTAACACGAAATATTAGAATTTAAGTCTTTGCCTAGATCTGCAGCGTATACCAGGAATAGTAATGGCCCTACGACAGAGCCTTGAGGGACACCACTTAGAACTGGATACTCTGACGAGAACATCTGTCCAACTTTTACCTTGAAGATGCGATTTGACAAAAAATCATTTATCCAGAGAAGTAAAGAGCCGCGAATGCCAGCTTTTTCCAATTTATAAAGCAATCTCTTTTTGGGAACACGATCAAAGGCTTTAGCGAAATCAAGATATACGACATTGACAAGCTCTTTATTGTCCACAGACGTAGTCCAATCGTTTAAACAGGTCATTAGGTTTGTTAATGTGGATCGGCCTTTAATAAAACCGTGTTGTTCTTTTGGCAAGACGTCATAGCTCTTAAAAAAATCAGACATATAATTGGTTAAGATGGATTCCATTATTTTACAAGCAATTGGGACGAGGCTTATTGGACGATAGTTGGATGGACTGAGTTTGTCACCCTTTTTAAAAATAGGTGCCACCGAAGCAATTTTCCACATTGAAGGAAGTGTGTGAGATGTAAAAGAAGATGTCATAATAATGGATAGAGGTAAAGCCAAATAAGATGCGCATTCTTTTAAAAGCATTGCGGATAAATTGTTTATTCCAGGTGAGGAATTTGATTTGATTTTTTTGAGATTTTCATTAACAATTGCAGATGAGAACTCGACATTACATAAAGAGGTTGCTGTTCGGGCATCGTGACTAACTGGAATGTCACCTGTGGGTTCTAAGGAAAACACTTGTGAAAAATGGTTGGCCAGAGCTTCAGCTGTTTTTTTGATCATTATTACATAAGTTTCCATCCGTTTTTTTAAGAAGTGGTACTGATACTTTAGAAGATAGAGAGCATCTTATGTGTTTAAATAGCTTCTTAGGGTTATCGCTACTAGGATATATTCTTCGTATTCTCTTCTTGCGTTATCAATAATATTGATTAAATCGTTTGCGAAACGTCGATGGTTAACAAAATCATCATGTCTTTTGGTTGCTTTAAATTTTTTCCACATATTTTTCTTATGTTTAATTAAAGTTAAAAGTTGTCCATTGATCCAGGGTTTTAATTTGTTCTGAGGACATTTTTTTGTTTTTTGTGTTAGCCTTTACAATTTCAGATATCTTTGTATGAAATAGTGTCCACATATCTTCTATTAATACAGTACTTCTTAAAAAAGTGATCCCAATCAATTTCGGAGAGGACTCTCTTTACGTTATTAAAGTTTGTGACACTATAGGTTACGTCCCTATCGGAATTAGGGGTTTCTATGTTAAATTGCATGTTAAATATAATAACGCCATGGTCAGATTTCCCAATAGGTGAGTGGACAGATGGAGAAATTAGAAGTTGGTCGTCATTTGTTAATATAAGGTCCAGAGTTGAAGGTTCTTGATTTAAGCGAAAGCGGGTAGGTTCGTATGTCACCAGTAAAATTATCTGTTCCAAGTCTTTCATTTTTATAAAGCATTCCCTATACCTAAAGTTAATATTTATCGATATTTTTTAACAATAAATGAAAATTATGGTTATTTCGATAAATTAAACTGGTTATTCATAAAATACTCTTTATAAACAATAATAAATAATATGTGTTATTTTTTATCTAGTCGCCAATGCATTTAATATACTTGTCACCGTCCAGTTGACAATTTTGACATTTTAAAAATCAAGAGCAACTACCTGTGTGTTAATGTTTTAAGTAAATTACTAATAATAAGATAAACAATACGAATTGTTCTATCCCAGAAATGGTGGATATGATTTATATACTAGGTGAGTGCAAAAATAAGTCTTTACTTGCCTCCAGAGTGTAGCACCAACGATATCCGAAACGCCGGAAACCAAATAAAAAGACGTTTGAAAAACTAATGGACCGTTTTAATCGTACTGGTAGTGTATCATACGAGCAAAAACAAGTAACAAAACTGCTATCACGGAAGAGAATGAAATGAAAGTATTGTTGAGTATTTATGATGATCCGCATATTAGTAAACGAAATATTTCAAGACAACAAGTCAGTTACGGAACTGAGAATCCTATCAAAACATAAAATGCATCCTTTCCATATCCAGTTACATCAAGAACTTCTTGAACGGGATTTTGAAAATAGAGTGATATTTTGTAACAAAAAATTAATCAACAAAGAAATGTCTTTGATTTTGTGCTCTTTGGTGATGAATCGACTTTTCATAAAAATGGTGGTTTAAATAGGCATAATTTTCACTATTATTCTACACAAACCCACACATTATAGTCACTCATAGCCAAATGAGGTGGTCATTAAATGTTTGGGGTGGCATTGTGTGTGATTAAGTGATAGGGCCACACTTTTTTGAATGACGAGTAAATAGTGCAGTATATTTGGATTTCCTTGAAAATAATTTGCCTACGTTACTCGAAGATGTTCCCTTTCACATTCGCCAACAAATGTGGTTTTTGCACGATGGTGCATCAGTCTATCACACTGTAGTAATTCATAATTATTTAAATAATCACTTTCTAAGACGGTGGATCGGAAGACGAGGACCGATAGGGTGGCCAGCGCGATCACCGGATTTGACAAAAATTGATTTTTTTCTGTGGGGTTATTTAAAAAATAAAGTATATAATGTGCCTGCAACGACAAAAAGGGACATGAAAACTCGAATCAGAAATGTGAGTCAGTCATTCGAAATTCGATTACAAAACTGTATTGATGTTATGGGAGGTCA